AAAGGCTCTAACAACCCGCAACCAGCACCAGCATACCATGCCGTTCAAACCAATATCAAACTCCGACAAAATAAGACAAATAAAAATCAAAAGTTCCCACACCCAAAATAATGCCCCCTCAAACGCATCTATCAAAACGCACAGTTATAGCGCAAAATATGCCATCTAGTGTTCGATTATTTATATCACTGTTACACATTCCAAAAAGGAAAAGAGTAGGGAAGAGTGGGGCAAAGCGGCCACCCGGGGCAAAGCGGCCACCCATCGTTTTAGCCCTTCATAGCTGGCGTCAGTTCCAATTTATGGTTTCCAATTATACTTCTCTCCACGGTCGTTCGAATGAGCCAGACCGGGGTTTCAGGCCCATCACCATTGTTCTGTGAAACACGGAAAAGCATTTCTTACCAGGTTACCAACTATGTTTACAATTTTTAAATGTTATGTTATTCCATAACCGTTAGGAATTTTTATAAGCGTTCTTGTCCATGCATTGCATGGTTATCGTACATGTATTCTACCAATTTTAATGTTTTTTACCCCACTAATAGCTGAGCTGGAATATTTTTGTCTCGGACGGTATGCGCGGGGCAAAGCGGCCGGGGCAAAGTGGCCACCCCCCAATTGGCCATAAGTTGCTTCCATCTGGATAAAAAACATTATTTATATTCAAATGTGTCGTCATACATTCATCTTGGCCACTTTTCAGTTGCATGAGTTACCAAATAATGCAATTAAATGTTTATTTTCATGAAAATCCTTTCTTTGTTGACCTACAGGTGGAAGATGATAAAGTAAACATCCATCCTCGCTTATCCTTGTCACCATCAAATACCCTAGTCGTACACGAGGCAACTATTTTGTTTCTCATATCGGGGCTCGAGAAGACGCCGGTGGCCGCTTTGCCTCAGGGTATGGGGCAAAGTGGCCAATATGCATAGGCTTAAAGTTTTGTCAATATCTTTCATATGTGAACGCCTTTGGAAATAAAACGCAGTTGAAATAAAAGGCAACTTAATAGGGATTACATTGGTATAGAAAGAATCTTTCCAAGTTTAAAAATCAAGCGTTGGCATCGTGAGAAGCGTTAGGGTGGCCGCTTTGCCCCACTCTCCCCTAAACATGTTGTGGACGAATTTCAATTTAATCTCGCTTGTATGGCTTCCGGCAGCCCGTAACAATCCATATGGTTTAGGAATTCCATTCATTTATGTTCTAATTTGACAGTCGTCTTTTCGACGTCTGCCAACCAGCAAAAAAGATTCCGGGGTATACATAGTTTGATCATTTAAGTCTTCTCTAAAGCTTATAATCGGCAAACGAGGTAAGCGATTAAATTACCTGATAAGAACGTTTTACGAGAAACAACCGTGCCTGCACATATTGTACCAGACATGTGCGCTGACATGAACAGAACACTTGTAAACGGTTCGTGACGCAAAAGGGACGACTGCTTGAGAACGGATGTTGCAAAAGCATCCCGTTATAGGTCATGGGTTAAACGACTTAGTTCTCGTCCGACCTAGTCGGCAGGTAACAAACAATAAAGAGCATGCAGAAGGATGTCGTTTTTCTAAATAATCTGTCAGAGAGCCGCCCGTTGGCAACGCTTGTCTGCATGGTCGTCGGTGATAATACGAACGGCAAAAAAAAACATTATTAAACTGCACAATTGTCAAACAAATCTAGCCATATTATCCGCGACTGGGTCGATTCTTGCAGCAAAACATGACTACTCGTAAGCTGAGGAAGCATCTCCACTCGGAACTGCTTCTCCTCGCCGAGTGAAGGAAATTAGAAGCTTCTAGCTGCTGCGCTCACGAGACGAGCCCAGCCGTCCGGAGACGCGTGCGGCCGCGCCCGCGGTACCACACCGCGCGATCACCAGTGCAGTCACGAACACAGATGGACCGACGGTTTACGGTTTACAGAGGAAGCCGGCGGATCACAGCTGGAATATCCACGGGAAGGGGTCAAGGCGGATCATACTGCAGTGGGTACGGGAGTGGCCGCATGCCGCATCCGCTCAGTACCGTCCTTATATACGTACGATATGCATGTACATGCTATATTGACGACGAGACGGGCTGCAGAGGAAATAAGAAAGGACGAGATTAGGAAGGGCGGACTGGTAAAGCTTAGTAAGCCTTCGGAGTCGACGACGATGAAAGAAGGTAGGTACTCGCTCTTTGCCCTCATGGATGCAATGGCACTATCACACGTTGTAGCAGTTGGCACTAAGCAATTCTCTCGCAAACCGCTGCTGACAGTCGCAAGAACAGTCGACTTTTTCATTTTATCAAGTACTAACAATTTGGTACTACATAGTGCTAGTGCAGAGGATGTGCACTTCCTAATGATCGCTTTCGACACCGATCGACACTACCGAGGCTGCAGACCGCTGCTGACAGTCGCTGGAACGGGTGCGCCACTGCTGATGGGACAGTCGTGCGTTACAGATCCTCCAGGTCGTGCCGTGCTCCGTGCATTACCCACAAAGCTGCCTTCTAACGAGACACCGACCGATGGCATCAAGTGTGCTGATGTCAATGTGTAATGTCGATCCGACAAAACTGTACAACGATAGATAGGGAGATAAAAACGCTGTCGAAACATGACCTTGCAAAGTAGTTAAAAATCACATGTGCGGATTACAACCGGATGATGAATTAGGTACGTATCAGCTCCAATTAAACAGACAAACCGTTGCAATATACCAGCTCGATGCGCTGATAACGTCTCAGTGCAGCGTGTTTGACGACACGGTGGGACGATTCGTCGGCCCGGACTGGTGCCGAGTGGCAGGCGAGGGCTGCTGCGGCGTGCGCCGAGACCGAGTCGTGCCAGGCCCGGGGACCCTGTGCTGGCGGGGTCGTGACTTTCCCTCACCCACGTCCCTCAGTGCGCCGGAAACCCCTGTCGAACACAGCAAACCTGTGCAGCGGGCTCAACAAAGGGGTCTGATGAAACGCGATGACTCAGTAACTCCACTTCACTGTGCTTAATGAACCCAAAAATATCGCCTCCGATTTTAGAGAGCAATATGTTTCCATCGATTGCATGAGTCACGTACCAACTTTAAGTATTCTATTATAATATTCATGAAATCAGTTCGCTAAACATATTCCCACTTCCTCGGTTTAAAAAACGTATCATGCGATAAAGATAAGAGGTGAGAATAAGATACTGAAAAAAATAATGTAAAATTTGCCTTCCAAGTCGTGGACCTCATGCCATTATGCGGAAGAGGATCAAAAAGGTTACATAAAGCGAGGACGTCAGATAGTTATAACTTTGAGTCGATGATGGTTATTTGGTCATCCCAGAAAAATGTTTCGGGATTCGTGTCATTACTTCCTAATCCAAACTCTGAAGTAATCGCCTTAAACTCATCCGCCCTTTGCAGGCGATGCAGACGGTCGATTAGATATCTATCACCAAGTGCGTGTTACAGCATCACCGTCGTCTCACAGCTGTCGGCAGGGTCAAGTGTACCGTATCAAGTCGGCTAACCGGTCTTGTGCCAAGCACTAAGCCCTGCAGTACCCCTATACTCTCAGGACAGGATAATCCCGCCCCAGAAACTGGCCGAATTCGGGCAGTAATCAGTCGACAGTCCACACTTTTGTAGCTCTGGGTACTGCGGAGGATTCGCGAAACCGGTATTTCCATCGCCGTTTATTATCTTGCATTGTAAGCTATTTTGCCCACAGCAGGTGATGGTTGAGCTAATTGATCATCTTTAATCAAATTGTCATGCCAGTATAAGAACGAGAATCTTGCAAGCATTTATGTTTTATATAGGTGCTTAATTATTATTTATGTGCTTTACCTATCATTTAAATTTTGAAACATATTGGACACAACTTACTTTAATGTCTGTTCGTCCTTTTCTCGAGACGGTAAACGGGCTCACTAAATGGTCTGATGAGACGTCGCGACACAAATTAGGTGCTTGCATTGTAGCCTGCCCTGATGCGAACTATAGTCATTTGACAATTCGAGTGGCACCGAAAGTGGTGCAAGCGAGATTAAGCACTAAATATAATAAGCACATATTTGTCACAATATTCGTCAGCCGAGTGCTGAGGAAAAGTCGGAATGTCGCAGTATTGAGGGCTGCCACAGATTCACACTTGCACTAACTGCACTTGGTATTTCAGACACGTTTCTACTAATGCCTATTTTTGTGACATGTAATGCAACGACAGTGGTTTGTAGGAAACACAGCATTCAGCATCGTAATTGCAGTATATAGTCGATAAATACGGGTGTGTGACTTACTATCCGGAATATTTCGCCATTGGAACCTGTCGCCAGTCGCGCGTAATCACCGCCAGAGCCGTCCGGTTCTGTCCGAAGGAACCATTGGCGCACTTTTTTCCGCACCCTTGCGCCATCTTAGCGATGTCGACGGAAGAAAGTGGAAGCGGGATTTGGGAAATTTTGTCATCCGCAGGTGTCCCGTTGCAAGGCCATCCATGTCACTGAGCGGCGAGCGGACCGGCCGGTGCGGATGGGGACGCCGGTCGGTCGCCAGGCGGCTATAAAGGCCGACCTGACCGGCAGGCGGGCACCAGTTCAACAACTGCAGCCGACTGCAAGGTGTGTGCAGTGAGAGGGCGAGAACAGATCAGTGTCTAACGTCGTCTGGCCGAGGAAGACAATGCGAACTTAACCAGTTTGACGCTCGGCAGTCACCTCCCGGAACAGCAAAATTACTTTTACCTACTCTTTTACCTACTCCGTTGCTAACGACATCAGATGCACATCTATAGTAGATCGAACTCAGAGCTTTCGAAATACGTCAAATGGAACGGTTTATTTTCAAACAGTTTTGACTTGTCTCAAACCAACTTCAATCAGAGCTGGTCTGGCCAGCATTTCCGGCATCCGCAACTGCGCAGCACTGACTGGAGGTCGACCGTTCGACAGAACAGCACTGACCTGAGGTCGTCAGTTCGACCGCGCAGCACTGACCGGGGGTCGGCCGTTCGTTTCAGATGCGTCTGCTCCTCCCCGTAGCCGTGGTGGCACTGGCCGGCGTGGCCACTGCCTCCTATGGTCCTCCAGTGGCGAGCCACTACGGCGGTCGAGGCGGCGGAGTGCATGTAGGCGGAGGAGGCGCCGTCGGAGGCGCTATTGCAGGAGGCGCCATCGGAGGCAGTGGTAGTTTCATCAGCGGCGGAAGTCACGGCGGAAGCCACGGCGCAGTCGGAGGAGGAGGATATTATCAAGGCAAGTGAAATAACGTCGTCCCATAAATGTTACTTGTAAGGTGCCCCAATTCGCTGCACCAAACACGAATCCTATCCCGAAATGGAAACACCCTCAGTTTGTTTTTCAATAGAAAAACACAATTCTAAAGAATAGTGTTTGTCTAATGAAGAAACTACCTTCGGGTATCCTATGAAGACAAATTCATAGCAATAACTTTTAGAATGATAATTAGAGGCGCTTTTATACTTGTCTATCCTTCAAAAATAACAGTGTCATCATGAGGTTGAAAACTATAAGACAGCTGAGAAACTCTAATGTAGAATGAAGCTTGATTTGCAAATGTTTTGTTGACTCCATACATTACAAGTATGCAGCTTATAACGTAAAAGCGACAGAGTAAAAGCGACTCTCTCTCCCTCTCTATTCATAATGCATCCGGTCTACCGGTGACCTTTCGACTCCGCTCTGACCCGCGACCTCTGACCTGCAGGCGGCCTGTTCCTGTCGTTCCTGGCGCCGGAGACTAGCCACTACGAGTACACCTGGCAGGAGGCCGCCTACCAGTGCGCCTCGCGCGGCCTGGTGCTCGTCTCCATTGAGAACTACGAGAAGGACCACTACATCGCCAGCCTTCTCCGCAAATACCGTGAGTTCAGCCGTGGGCCTTGCTGTGCAAGGGATAATTATTCACAATGCGAGCCGATAATATCGCAAATAGCACGAGTAGATCGAAGCAACATGTCCTGAATGAGGATTTGTACTCTGGCGTTTTGCATTGACGTACTATACATACACTCGATTATACAAAGTAGGTACGATTTAGCATACCTATGACGATACAACCCGCAAACGCGAGTAGGTATATGTTTCACCTTTCCCAGCTGCACAGCGATGACTCTCTCTCTCTCTCTCTCTCTCTCTCTCTCTCTCTCTCTCTCTCTCCCCTCTCTCTCTCTCTCTTACCCCCCCCCTCTCTCTCTCTCTCTTTCTCTCTCTCTCTCTCTCTCCCTCTCTCTCTCTCTCTGTCTCTCTCTCTCTCTCTCTTACTTTCCCTCTCACTGACACTCTCTCGCCGTTACAGACGTGCCCTTCATCTGGACGTCGGGCACCAAGCACGGCTACTCGTTCCGCTGGGTAAACGGCAAGACGATCGGCCCGTACTCGTACTCCAACTGGTCGCGCACCGGCGGCAACGGCTACCCGCAGCCCGACAACCGCGAGGGACACGAATACTGCCTGGCCGTCCTGAACGAGTTCTACCACGACGGTATCGTCTGGCACGACATCGCCTGCCACCACAAGAAGGCGTTCATCTGCGAGCGGCCGGCGAAACATCCCTACTAGTCGCGCCCGGGTGCCGCGCGGCCTCAGTGTCGGCGTGTCCGCCGTCAATGTCCTATAGGGATATACACAATCGAGCCAATGCACAGCACAGGCGTAGGAAACGACAAAAAAAAATATTCGGCAATTTTTGGCCTTTTAACAAGACATCAACATTAACTTATTCAATTATGTCAGCCATCCAAATCATTAAAAAAGGTATCAGTGTCTATCGCGTTCTTTTTAGTGACAGTTATCAATCATTTCAAGCTTCAACTACGCGGGTCACTTGTTTGTAACAGTATTTACCAGTAGTTGTGTACCATTATCTACGCCTAAGGTACATACACTGTGCAAGGGTGAATGTCTCATACTTTGATTAATGTAGGCATAAAAGACATGAAATGCCATGAACCAGTGTTGTGTTAGTTGCTCACTCCTGTTCACATACTGTTATAAATACAGGTGCATAAAAGATGCCTCACCTTTGAGAAGGGTAGTTCAGCCGTGAGAACGGCATTTATCGGAGGGTTTGGATTCACGCGACCATCGAGGAGATATCTCGTTTCCAAAACCTTATTCTCATCAACTTTCATTCACGGGCTTCAGGGCCGGCGTTAGCCATAAAAGGTTCACTAAGTAGTCAATTCATAGGTACTTTTTCATTGATATTGACAGACACATTGAATTATAATTGGAAAACAATGGGACCGTTTTTGAGTTATATTACTTTAAGTTGGCTACACCGCCTACACATGTGTTTCGATATAACTCTTCTTCAATCCATAAATACAAAGTCATGGCAAATAATTCGCCTAAACAATAGGTAAACTTGTTGTTTGCTTGTTTGTTTGTTTGCTTGCTTGTTGATTAGGCGAATTATTTACCAAGATACCTATAAGAAACAGGTAGGTCGAATGTTTTGAGTAAAGCCCTGGTGACGTCACTGACATTTCTTATTATGGAGAATTTCGCCTATTAGGAAAATATTCTACAAAATTAAATTTGTATTATATAAGCAAAACATACAATCTTTCAATTTCATTATGAAACTTATATAATTTAATTATAAAACTTGAAATCCTTTGAGTGTTTGTCTCAACCCCCTGCTACCTACACCTTTGGTCACGTAACTGAAATGATAAACTTTGCGTTTTGCAATGTTATGACTTAAACAGAAGTAATAAATGTTAGAAGTGTATTATATGTGGTGTTTTAGGCAGAAATCGTGTAAAAAATGTCCTTAAATTACATGGGCGTAGGAACGGCTGGAACATTGTGGGTGCACGGGTGCAGAAATCTAGCCATGGCCGATGAAGCGGGGGCGGGGGGGGGGGGGAGGGAGCGATACCCGAGCGAAGGCTCGTTACGAGCTTTGAGGGTGTACCATGTCGAAAAGGTACCGACCGATAAGTGCATTTGAAAGCATTGACCCTCGCATGTGTAGGAGGGTCGGATGAACCACCCATATTTTTTGCAATAACTCACGCAAAAAGCGGCCGATCGCCACGAAACCCTTAGCCCTCGCCCGCACATGGGGGGGGGTTGCCACCCCCCCCCCCCCCAGGCAGTCTTTCTGCTCTGCACTCAACATTTTTAAAGCTAGAAGGCTGATTTTTCGTATAGCTGCTCGTCTATCCTTTCTTGATGTCCACTGAAAATTTCAAGTTTCTGTGATTTTTGGTTTCGGAGATATGACCTTGTTTTTCAGGTCATGTCATGACCCAAATGGCCAATTCTCAACATCTTGCGTTTGCCATGGGCCTTGTAAGCTTTTGACACCCTGATTTCGGCCTTTTTTGCCAGTCTTTCCTCCCACCTATCATGGAACATGTGGTTCGACGATGTACAGGGGTCAAGGTCAGGGTCAAGGTCAACCTAGGTCATCTAAGATAATTGCGTTTTAGGCAAGCTGAATTTACTTTTTGTGAAGTTTTTTTTTGACTGCATTTTTGGTAAAAGCTTCTCAGATCATGATTTCATGTGATATGGACCCAAAAACAATCGGTGCACACATCAGTATACACACAGACACACACAGACATACAAACACATATAATTGACCTTGACCTAACTTGACCTGAAATGACCTCAGCAGCAAAATTCTGGTCGGATAGTGTGACAAAGAGGTTCTAGCTGGCTTGGCACCAGAAAACAGCATCGTCATCGGTATTTGATAAGCAGCGCACTTGATATCCAACGGTGACCCAAAACAGCAACATTTTTTAGTTTGACCTGTCCTGGAAGGTCAATGACTGACCTGAGAAGGTAAAACTGGGTATCATTGGATTCGTCTCTTCCCAAAGAATCTTTTTGGTCCCTACTGCTAAGCTCTATCTCCAACAGGAACGAAATGGCGCGGGGGGTGGCAACCACCCCCCGCGCCATTTGCGTTCTAGGATGGGAAAATGGCATGTGCGGGCGAGGGTTAGTACCCTCGAGTTGATCAGTTTTACACCTACTCTGAAAATTTCATGACCCTGACCCAAAAGACCTTTGACCTGTGACCTGATTCTCGAGACCATGTTCGGCCGGAATCGCGATTTGGCGTATGTCAGCTCACATTATCCGCGTGTTTCCAGTCTTTTTGTGATTGTAGACGTCCAAACATGTGAAATGATGCTCGTCCCATGCATCACGGTGGGTGTGAAGGTCACCTGAAGGTCAGGTCAGGTCATTGACCTTTGATGACATCGGTTCACTTTTTCGAGTTTTACATGTTTCTAGGGTAGTTTTTCGGGCTGATTTCGAATTAAGCATCCATTTGAATCCAGACGAAATAGTTTTAGTGCCTTCGTAACATGCTACGACGCCGTCAGTGGTAGTTGACACCTACTATGGATAGCCAGTAGGACGCCTAATGGTTGACCTGACCTGACCTGACCTGACCCGATCTGGCCAAATGCATGAAGAAATCATCTGTGATCAAAACTAGCATCAGATATTCGTGAGAAGCACCCCGAAAAAACCGATAACAGTTTCACTTTACGCAATACGCAGTTCTAGCAGGTCCCGACTTTTCAGACTTTTGGAAAATTGACATGACCTGGAAGGTCAACCAATGACCTAGAACCTTAAAATTGGGTATCATCGGCTTCCTCTTGTCACGAGCAGCACCCTCGTTTTTTCCGCGAAGCTCTAGCTCGATCAGGGGCCGAACGGCAGGGGTGTCCGACCGACCCCCACCCCCTACACATTAGAAGCTGGAAAACGCCGTACACATGCGAGGGTTAATATTGTCAATATTGACTACCGCAAAAAGTAAAAGCGGCCAACTTAGCCATTTTTGAAGATATCGGGCTAAATATTTTGACAGTGGGTCATCGGTTCGGTATGTGTTCAATTGCACACGCTCCATTTCTTTTTTTTTTCTTCAGCACAAATGTAAGTTTTGAAGACCATCACAGTAGGAAATGCTTCGAAAGATGGATAGTAGGCAACATATCCTGAATGTGCCGTGCTGCATGGGAAGTAGTGTTGATGTGAAAAGGGGTTTTTGGTTCAGATTATTGTGGGTGCAGAATACATTATCTGCACCCGCTGGAGAAATATTGTGGGTGCAGCTGCACCCTTGCACCCATGGTTCCTACGCTTATGTTAAATTATATACCAGTAAAACGCCTTTTGGGCGAAGAACGAGCGAGCGAGATAGTGAGCCCCATGCACGTGCAGAAGGGCGAGAGGGTACTTCCAACGGGCTTGTGCAAAGCACCCTTCTAACCGGTCGCTAGCGGTGTGCCAAATTTGAACGCAATCGGCCCAGCCGTTCCTGAGATCTGAAAGCGGCATTCTGCACGTGCGCACGTGCAAACGGGGTCCAAAATGACTTTTGCACGGCACCCTACTAACCGGTCCCCAGCCGTGTACCAAATTTGAGCGCAATCGGCCAAGCCGTTCTCGAGATCTGGAAACGCCCCCTGCACGTGCGCACGTGCAGTAGCACCCTAACCGCAACACATGGGAATGCATTGCCTGGTGGGTGCCTACCTGTATGCCAAGTTTCAGCGAAATCGCCCCAGTAATTACCGAGTTACTGAAATGGGAACAAATTTGGCACCTCTTATTGTTGTATTTTGCACGTGCAGTGGGGGTCACTCACATAGATGAAGAGTATCCGACCTTTGGTAGAAGGGATGCAGCTACCCTATAAAAATGACCGCAAGACAATCGCTCGAGCCGCTGCTGAGATATGGGCCTCTCAAAATCATTGCTTTTGCAAAACTGCTTGAACACCCTTGACTTTTCACGTGGCACGTGCCACGACGGTCACTGAGATGTATCAAAAGTAGTCAATTACGGGGTAGAAGGGATGGGGCTACCCAGCAAAAAAGACCGCAGGCCATTCGGTCCAGCGGTTGCTGAGATATAAGCCTCTCAAAAGCGTTACAGGCCGGGCCGGGCCGCTCATACTGAGATTTTTCCGTTATATTGAAAAGACTTCGCTTCGCTCGCTGCGCTCGCTCGCTCGTAATAATCTGTTGAAAATAAGTCACGTGATGTTACCAGATTGTGCTCGGACAGCATCTTCTTGAACTTCGATTTTGAGTACTTTGTACCTTCATAGAGGCCTAATGATGGACGTTTTCAAAAATGAAGCACTGAATCTAATAAGGGCAAATTCCTAATCATTTGTTGCCCTTCAGGCTGGGCTATCCAGGCATGAACTTTGGCCAGTTTGTGCGTAAAGCCTTTGGTGAAGGGAAAACTTCACGCCCAGCTGACGTCACAGACCTCGGCTACCAAATCGTGTCCGGTGGGGGTCGCTGTTTACCATGACTTTATATTTATGGCTTGAAAAATGTTTATATCGAAACACATGAGTAGCCAACTTAAAGTAATATACTATAACTCAAAAACGTTCACATTGTTTTCCAATTATACTTTTTCATGTCGTTTCACAGGCCATACGTTTCCGGTTTTGGCGGAGTTCAGCCGGGGCTCACTTGGCCAGTGCAGGGGGCAGGAGCCAGAGCGAGAGGCACCGTCACTGGTGGATCCCAAGGAAACTGGGTCATTTCAGCCCTAGCCTCGCAAGTCTCGCAGCGTTCGAAACCTGCGAGTTGCTGGGGGGGGGGGGGGGGCGTTAAACGTCCTCACTTCTTTTCGCCGCGCATAGCTAAAGAAACAGCGCGCCGCAGGTGTACCAAATTTTGGGTAATACCTAGTAGGGAATTGATTAAAAGCTTTTGTGACCAAGTAAAAAAAGAAAAGAATTGGTCTGAAAATTTTTGAGATATCGAGGATTTAGTGACGTCATAATTTCTAAGTTTTCGACCAAAAACGGCATTTAAAAAAAAATCATACAAAATTACAGAACAGACGTAGAGACACACCGTAATCGCCATTAAATTGCCAATACAATGAACAATCAAATGGCTACGTCTATTTTCAATTATCATTCTATGCATCTACCTAAATCTTGAACTGAATCTTAAGATTCAGTTCTTAAGATTCAGAAATTGCCAATAGCCAATTCAT